TCTTTACCTAGAAATCTTTAAGAACTCGTGATTTAAAATATTTTTGTAGCACTTTATTAGTTAGAATTTTTACCTGTATTTTCTTCATTGACTATCATAACGCTATAAAATAAATATTTATTTCCCCCTCACACACTATAGAAACTGAAATTTATAGTGGTTTAACATCCATGGTTCTCCAATAATAATTGTAGGAACTATCATGCAAACCTAGTTCTGCTGCTCCACAGCTCAATTTCCTTCAACTTCAGAATATTGCTTCTGGGCATCTTTGAGAATGTAATAAGAAAAGTCTACCTTTTCTTCTGAGGCATCACTTTCTCTTAGGTTTTCTCCTACAACACAGACTTCTCCTCATTCTACTTTGTTAGCTCCCACATCTTTTCCTGACTTTTAACATTAGTGTGCCTGAGGCTTGATTCTGGGATATCTTTTCTGTCTATACTACCTGGCTTGGCGGTCTCATATAGAATCACAGCTTTACATGTTATCTGTGTGCCAGTCATTAATTCTACATTTATATTTTCACTCTACAGCCCTCTCAGAATGCTAGGCTTTTACATCCAACTGCTTGTCTACTCAGATGTCTGGTAAGCATCTCAGTATAACATATCCAAAACTAACTGAACTTGAATTCTTTCCTCAGTTCTGCTTTTACCTCATTTTATCCCATTTCAGAAATGATAGCACCATTCCCTCGCTGCTCAGGCTGAAAAACCTGAACTCCATCTCTCTCCTTTCCCCTAGCCCCCATCTCTCATTCTGTGGAGTGCTCTTTCTCCCCCACTTCATCTCCTTCACTGCCCTCCTTCCCTCTTTTATGCTTCCCTTCTCCCCTCCCTTCTCCTCCCTCTCTATCTCCCCTCCTTTCTTCCCCTCATTCTTTTCTTCCTCCCCTTTTTCATTCTTTCCCTCTTCCTCCCCTCACATGTATTTTACTAACAAATCCTTCTGGCTCAGTGACTTTTATTTTCTACCATTTTCCCCCCTCATTTTATTCTAGCTACTCTGGCTTCCTTCTTCTTCCTCTAATGTGCCAAGCACACTCCCACCTCAGGGCTGCTGTACTTGCTACTCCCTCTGGAATACTCTTTTCTCAGATTTCTGTACATTTTCATTTCCTGTTTGTCTCTGCTCAGATGTCAACAATGAGACCTAACTCAGCCACTGTAACATTCATCTCCCCTCACTCTGGTGTTCTCTGGCCTCCCTGGCCTCCCTACCTTGCTGTTTTTCTCCATTACCTCCTGACATGCTTTATTTTTTTTTAATTTTTCTTTATTGATTTTTAGAGAGAGAAAGGGAGAGGAAGAGAGATAGAAACATTGATGAGAGAGAGCACGCCTCCCAGTGGGGATTTGGCCCACAACCTGGGCATAGGCTCTGACCGGGAATCGAACTTGTGACCTCTTAGTGCATGAGTGGATACTCAACTGCTGAGCCACACCGGCCAGGCTGACATGCTAAATATTTATTTATATGCTGTCTGTCTCCCCAACTAAAATAAATTTTATGAGCCCAAGGACTCTGTTGTCTGCAGTATCCCTGGCACCTAGAACAGTAGTGGCTGGCATATTGTAACCACTAATTATCTGTTTATTGAAATGAATGAATGAGAATTCAGCCAACATCATCTCCTAATACCAAACCAGAATTATTTTCTTAAAGATTGTATTTGAAATTTACATGTACACACCATGACAGGATGAATTTGTTTCTTTTATGTGGAGAGTCGGGACGCTGTTAGCTACTGTATGTGGCACAATCGCTGTATGTGATGCTAATCTCTGAGGAATCTTTCAGTTGAGAGAAAATAACTTGATAAATCCTTGACTTTTTATTTTTTCTTTATTAATTTTAGTGAGAGGAAGGGAGAGGGAGAGAGAGAGAAACGTCTATGAGAGAGAACATTGATTGGCTGCCTCCTGCATCCCCCATTGGGGATTGCACCCACAACCAGGGCATGTGCCCTGACCAGAAATCCAGCCAGCAGCCTCTTGGTGCATGGGTCAATGCTCAGCCACTGAGCCACACCTGCCGGGAAAATCCTTGACTTTTTTAAGTCAGTATGGTCTCTTTTTTTTTTTTTTTTATCCTCACCCGAGGACATTTTTCCATTTTTTGTTCAGATAGAGCGGGAGGGAGAGAGAGGAAGAGAGAGAGAGAGAAACATCGATGTGAAGGGACACATCGAGTGGCTGCCACCCGCACGACCAACCAGGGCCGGGGACAAACTGCAACTGAGGTACGTGCCCTTAGCGGGAACCGAACCCGGGTCTCTCTGTACCGCAGGCCGACGCTCCAACCGCTGGGCTAAACCGACCAGGGCTAAAGTCAGTATAGTCTCTTAAAACACTGAGACAACAGGGGAAACTACTTCTTATTGACCAGTAAGTCCTGTGGAAGTGATAGGAAGGTTTGGATAAAGGACCTTTTCCTCTTCGAGTTTCTAGTTGTGAAGAAAGGGAATGTTTGCTGTAGTCAGGTGATTTTCCTAGACTTTAGAAAAGCAGATTTTATTCAATTCAGGAAGTAAACCCTTTTTTATTGTGTGGCTAAAGAATTAAAAAGTAAATTAGTTCAAAGGAACTGAATTTTCTAAAAGTGCATATTTTGTCTAAGCACCAAGACAATCCTGATAAAGAACAAAGGTGTGACTTTGTCATATGTGTTTTAATTAAATTTTTAAAGGATATAACAAATGACAAAATAGGGAAGGGGGGAGATGGGAAGAGATTGACCAAAGAAGTTACATACATGTATGCAGAACCAATAGACACAGACAATGATAGTATGGTGAAGGCCTGGGGTGGGACAGGGGCTGGAAGGAGGAGGGGAAATTGGAGAGCATTGGTCATACTGTCAACAATAAAATAAAAAACAACAAACAAAAACAAATGACCAAATAAATAGTCCTATAACTTGTTAGATTAAGCCAAGAAAGACTTGGAAAGACCACAAAATGAATATTTTTTAAGCCCCCCCCCCCCCAAAGAAATAAACAACAACCAGGAAATGATGAAAACCACTGTTTAGGAATGATGATGTAATATTAATATACCACAAAAAAAAAGATAGATCTAATCAGCTGCTATTTTGTTTTATTTTCTGTTAGAACAAACAACAATTGGGAACCTAATTTTCAGTACTAAAATACTCTCTTTGATATAAGTAAAGTGAATGGTTATTGATAAAAACATGACTTTTAAAAGCAGAATCCTCCTTTTTACCATATTTTCAGGGCGGGCCCTAACATTCTTCTGAAAGGGAATCACAGTGCCTGCCCTGTTATGGAACTTGTGACCTAGTTAGGGCCAGATTGAGGTGGGATAGGAAGACATAATTGTAAAACAACTAGGTAAACCTGTGTTTCATCAAATGCAAGCTAAAGTGGTAGGGTAATATACAGTATACCAAATAAGAGGAAATTCTTATGGGGAAAGGATTAATCTGGGAGAATTTTATGAAGCCAGTAAACCTGAACTGAGCTTTTGAAACAAGTAAAACATTTTAATTATAGGAAAGGAATAAGGAAAGCACTTTCAATAGGGATAGTACAGTAAATAGAATAATAGTTCTGGTAATAGAGCAATAACATTTCTTGATTGCTTAATCTGTCATATTACACATGCCATTAATTCTACATACAGACAGATGAAAAAGTATTTACTTTCATAAGAAATGTCAGGATAACAGCTGTCAGTAGTAATTTTAAATAGCATATTCTGTACTAATCTATTACTCTGCTAACTGTGTAAAAAACTCTCTAAGTGACTTTTTTTATTTAAATATTTTAAGCATAATATCTGTTGTGTTATCTCATTTGATTCTTGTGTCAATTCTGAAGTCCTCTTATCAGTTATTATGTTTATTTTACAAATGGGGAACTAAAGTGCTGCAAAATTAGCAGCAATAACAATAACAGCACCTGGCACATAGCAAATGCTTAATCAATATTTGGCAAATGAATGAAAAAGTAAACAAACATGCCCAAAATCCGTTGTACAACTAAGTGCTCAGCTCTAGATTTAATTAAGTCTGATTCTTAGCTTTCACACTGAACAGTAAAGTGAAAATGTTTGTCTACATAAATCAAATGGATCCAGTAAATGAAGAGGTTTGAATAACTGAAGGATTAAAACCAGCTTCATTGATGAAATCGTAAGAGGAGTAGTGTGTTGAGGATGAGAGTGAAGTCTTTAGAGTCAGAGATCTGATTTAAAATCCTGCTTTTTGTACTTATTATAAGTCATATTACCTCCTCGAGTGACACTCATCTCTTTACCTGTATTTCATAGGTGCCAAAACTCTGAAAAATGTGACAGTGATCCTCTTCTAAATAGGAAAGTGGGATTAAGAGGAGTAATACATGGGAAGTACTTAGGACAGGTCTTGGCACATAGTAATAATAAATAACTGTAATAATTATTACTAACAGTTTTTAGTCCATTGGAAAGGGAAATGAATCAATGAAAACATCCACGAGAAATTTGAATCTGGCAGTGGCAGCCAGGATGAATTAGAAGACAAGAGAGCAGAGGCAAGAAGAATAGAAAATTGTTGAAACATTCTAGATATCAAGTACTGCCCACAAGAGAGCAGTCGTATGAATGAGACAAAGGGGGGCGGGGGGGGGCTGACAAATCAGAAAGACACTGCATAATCAATCAGAATGTAATGGTAAGTTTATCAGGTGTTTTATATCCTATTAGAGAATTCTGAGGTTATTGTTGACAGTTTGTCATTGAAATTAGTACTTAAATACCTTTGGCTTGCAACTCAAAGCTCAAGAATGATGTTAGTTCTAATTGTGACATACTGAATATACTGGCAGAACTTCTCTTTTTTTTCTTGCCACCACACCACAACCAAAATAATATCAGGGTTTTTTTTTTTTTGCATAGTTTTTTGATATCTAAAACAATCTGAGTTTTTTTTCAGGTAATTCTTTCCTTGAGCAAGGGCTGCTGATTGAAAACCCGTTCTCTCTTTTATTTCAGTGCAAGCAGCTACTGATTCAGTCTGTAAACTCCAACAGAGGGAGCAGGAACGAAAAAAGGTAAATGTAGGTCGTTTGGATATTGGAGCCTATAACTCCAGCATGTTTTATTATCATCGTATTATTAGCAGTTGCTTTTGATAAAAAAGAAATTCTCTGAATTTGTTTTTTTATGCAGGATTTTAAAAGATTTTTTAAATGGCTAATTCGTTCAAGATGTTTTGAAGAGGTATGGGCACATGAGTGCACCATCCATACTTTCATAATTCAATTTACAGACCTTTGTTTTTTTTTACCTTTTCAACATTTCCATCTTTTCCTTGAAAGTGGTATTTGTCTTATGGAGGAGAGAGAATAGGACTTTTACATGGAACAAAAAATACCCACCAGATTGGAAATATAAATCTTTCCTTTGCGCCTGAAGCATTGAGTATAGTATGTATAGTTCTAGAAAATGAAGCATTCATGCCTATGGATGGGTTATTTAATGAATAGTCATAAGAGCGTGTGAATCACTTGCTGGGTAGTTCTTTGCTTATTTGAGTTATATCTTAACTAAATTCAGATGTGGAAAAACAGCACAAGAATTTAAGTTCCTGTGATAATTTGGTGTTTTCACATATAATTTTCATGAAGTATTTATATAACTTATTTATTGCTTTAAACTAATAAAGATACAGGTATTAAGAAATGTTGAAAATACTAAGTCATTCTGAAATACACACCTTTTTGCGTGTGTGTATCAACAAGTATTACTCTCTTTACTTCTGTGGAATGTGTTGTGGTTAATTCACAATAATGGTTGAGATTTGACACTGTATAAAAATATAATGGAATGAACCTTGCCACAGTTAAATTTCTGCAACCTCTGCTCAACTTTAAATATTGATATAAAGTTTAAACATTGAACAATTTGATGAATCAAGCCTACTGAAAGGACTTGACATTTAAGCCAGGTGGGAAGGCTGCCCAAGAAGAGTAAGATTGTTTCCAGCAGACCAGGTCAGGAAGCAGGGCCATTGCTGGGCACCGTGATAAAAGGGCAAGGCCCAGTCACACGCAGGAAAGTCTGTGTTGGGGAGAGTGTTTGCACAGTGCCTAGAGAGGACTGTAAAGGCAGTCACGGGGGCCTCAGTGGGCCTTTCCTGGCTGGACAGATTTTTTTTTTTAGTCCTCTACTTTGCTAGTTGGCACTGAGGGTGAAGATTTTAGTTTGTTAAGTTTAAGGCAGTTTGTATACTCTAGGGGTCCCAAGCCATTAGCACTAATATAATGTAGGATAAAATAAGAGCTGTGGTCAACTTGCAAAGAACTTTGTAGGATCTTGGCAAAACGAGTCATTTATTAGAAAGATGGTGGCATGCAAGCACAACCTTGATCAGTGAGTTGGAATTCATTTGATAGAAGATGGGAAGATGTGTAAGTAAAGACAGAAGATGTGAGGAGTCAATAGTCTCTGGAGCTGCGATGTGTACTATCTAAAGCAGTGGTTCTCAACCTTCCTAATGCCGCAACCCCTTAATACAGTTCCTCATGTTGTGGTGACCCCCCAACCATAAAATTATTTTTGTTGCTACTTCATAACTGTAATTTTGCCAGTGTTATGTTTTAGGTGACCCCTGTGAAAGGGTCGTTTGACCCCCAAAGGGGTCGTGACCCACAGGTTTAGAACTGCTGAAAGGGATCTATCTGAAGATGATTGTGGAGAACGTTGATTGCTATATTAAATAATTTGTTACTGAAGGCATCAGGAGCGTTTCTGTATTTGAGAAGCAGAAACACTTTTTCTTAAAGAACACTGGCTGTACTGGCTGTTACATATGCAATTCTGTTCGCTTTCAGAATGAAAATTAAGAAAGGGTGTCCTGTGCAGGATGTTGCCTCTCTAATATGTTGCTGCATGATTTAAGCAGATTCATGTGAATATGCTCTCATGCATTATCGGTCTTTTTAAGACATCATCAGAGTGGTTACAATTTTAATAAAATGGCGGTTCTTTTCATCCTTGAGCAGAACTAAACTAAAATTAGATTATGATTGAAATGGTTCCTGTTGGCACTTTGAACTTTTTTCATGTTTGGTGTATTAACCATATATAAGTAAGAAAATGACCAGATTAGGTAAAAAATGCTGGTGTCTTCTATTTCTGGCTGTTTCCTTTATTAGCTAGCTGTATGTTCTTGGACAATGCCCTGGGCTTCAAGTTCCTCATCTGCAAAATAAATACCTGTTCTTCTTAACCTGATGGGTTGACATCCTGCTTACCTGATATATTGTATTATATAGTTTATGTGAAATGGTTTTGCAAATTGTATATCACTCTCCACAAGTAAGGTGGCACTTTCCCCTGCCAGCTTGGTCATTTATGATGCAGGCAATCACTTTTTGGATAAGAGCCGTGCTGTGGTCTGTTAGAGTTGGTGAAGCCCTTGAAAATCCTGCCCATTCATGATATTCTGAATTTAAAAAATTACTGTCCCATGGTTTAAAAAAAAAAAAAAAGTGGCCTCAAGAAATAATAAAACCCTTAGAATATTTTAGTCTTAAATATATTTCTTATAGGTATTATGTCAGAGAAAGTTACTGAACTATCTTTTTATGGCGTACACATTAAAGTTACTATTTTAGAACATACTGAAATGTGTTTTCCTAAGAACTGGGATGGAGTTTGTGAAACCTACATACATAATCAGCCACACTGAGTATTTTTTCCCCCCTCACGATAATTTTTAAAAATTAAACAGCTGAAAGTCACACAAAGATGTGTTTTTCAGACAGAGCCCAGAGAAAAGTAAAAATTCTTTATATTCTTCTAAGGCAATGAACCTTTAGTTTTTATTTATTTTTCAATGTTTATATAATTAACAAAACATTTGAAATATAGACCTTTAAGAACTTTTTTTTCTGTCATATCTGGCTTTTGTCAAAACTTTGATGCGGCTGAGATTTCAGACCACATATATATAAAAGACATAGAGTTAAAGTTTAATTTCTCATCTGGCAAACGTGTACAAAGTAAAAGTGAACTCTAGCTGCATTTTGCAATCTAATGTTAATTGTTGCCCTTAGTTCTACTGTTGGCTACATTTTGTGTATTTGAATGGCTCTCAGAACAAAGAAAGATGGGAGTAGTAATGGAATAAAATAGACTCTTGCCATTAATCATTAATTCTTTTATGTCAAGACAATTTGTGGAATTCTGTGGGAAGTAAATTATGATAAACGTCATTCATCCAAATCACATTTCCCACAATTGATATCTAAAAGTACATTCAGAAGAACAATAAATGCACATTCCCCATTTATTTGACATATGTCTTGAAAACGATCCATTAATCCAAAGTTGCATTTTGGGTGCTAGCAATAAGAGCAATGCAGTGAAAATATAATTAGCTTATAAAATTCACTGACTCTTAAAAATTTGCCATCAAGGGATATGAGCTTGTTAATATGTATTAATAGTTTAAACTTACATCCATACACAGCGTCAACTTTTGAAGCCATATCCAACCAAACTAGAGATAGTAATAAAGTAAACATGAATCCTTTGAGTCATCTTGTCCACAAATACTTGTTAGATTTAGTTGTACCCCTGTATGATTTTTATGAGTTGAGTGAGATAGCCATAAATTATACATTGTTCTTGATAGAATGTGGAAATGCAGAGTAATAGATCAATAGGTAATCTATTTAAAGTCATTACTGACATTTGTTATTCTGACACTTCTTACCAAAGTTAATACTTTTTCATTTGTTTGTGTAAGGCAAATGTAAAACCAATTGCATGTGTATTACTGACAGATGTGCCAAAGGGCCTTTTAGACCTTAGTTGGGTTATTCTCAGACCAGGGTTTCTCTCAGACCAGGGTTTCTCAACCTCTGCACTTACTGACATTTTGGACCAGATAATTCTTTGTTGTGGAGGCTGGCCTATGCTTTGTAGCATCCTTGGCCTCTACCCATTATATGCCAGGAGTACCTCCCCCAACCTGTGCTGTGGATAACCAAAAATCTGTGAGACAGGAGCATCAAAATCCACTCCCCGGATGCGAATCACTGACTTAGACTAAAGCATGCAGATGTGTTTTTATCATGTATTCCAGAGTTCATTTATAAATCTGGTCTTAGACATGGTTTTGCTTCAAGATTGGCTTCTCTTTGATTTTATCTCTAATGGGATATATGTAAGCCAGTTTATTATTACTATTTTTTTCTTTCTTGTAGAAAGAGACAAAACCATTACAGCTAATTACTCCTGGTACACAGTCGTAGCTCATTAACAGACTTTCTCTTCATTTTCTTTTAAAGTTGGCATTGTCTAATTTTATCTTAAATTGTATCCACTTTATAAGGAATGTGATTTTATTTATGACGAACCCTCTGAAATCTGATTGGAATCTTTTGTGTATTAAAATATACCTAACACAAAATCTACCAGCTTAAGCATTTTTAAGTACGTAGTTCTGTAGCATTACGTACATTCATATTGTTCTGCATCCATCACCACCATCCATCTCCAGAACTTTTCATCTTTCCCAGGTGAGACTCTGTACCCATTAAACACTAACTCCCTATTCTCCCCTCCACTCACCCCTGGTAACCACCATTCTACTTTCTGTCCAAAATTTGACTACTCTAGGTTTCCTTCTAAGTGGAATCATATAATATTTATCTTTTTGTGGCTGGCTTCTTTTATATAGTGTCTCAAGGTTCATCTGTGTTGAAGCATGTATCAGAATTTCATTCATTTTTAAAGATGAATATATTTTGTGTATCCATTCACCTATCCATGGATACTTAGGTTCTTTCCACCTTTTGACTATTGTGAATAATACTGCTATTAACTTGGGTGAACAAATATTTGTTCAAATTTCTCCTTTCCATTCTTTTGGGTATATACTCAGAAGTGGACTTACTGAATCATATGGTAATTCTATTTTTAATTTTTTGAGGAACTACAGCAGTTGCACCATTTTATCTCCCCACTAGCAGTGGGTTCCATTTTCTCCACATCCTTGCTAATGCTTGTTATTTTCTGTTTGTTTGTTTTTCATAGTAGC